AAAAAACTCAATGAAATAAATGCCTCACCAAAAATACTTTACCCAGCTAGACTCTAATTCATAACAGATGGAACAACACACAGTTTCACAGACAAAAAACAGCCCAGGAACTTCATAGACTCAAAACCATGATTACAAGAAAAACTAAGTGGGCTACTTTAAGACAAGACAGGCCCCTCAAATACATCAAATTTCAACATAAAAATGGGACAAAATCCCATAACAATAATCTCTCTCAATGTCAATGGGCTAAACACACCAATTAAAAGACACAGAGTCGCAGGGATGGATTAGACAATTGAAACCAAAATTCTGCTGCCTGCAAGAAACATATCTCAATAGTCAGAGCAAACACAGGCTCAACGTCAAAAGCTGGAAAACAATCCTATAGGCAAACAACTCCCATAAAAAAACTGGGGCAGTCATTCTAATATCAGACCACATTGATTTCAGAGTGAAGAAGGTAACAAGAGACAGTGAAGGCCATTTATTATTGATTAAGGGATCTGTACAACAGGAAGAACTTACAATACTAAATGTATATGCACCTAATGAGGGACCAGCAAAGTACTTAAAACAACTACTCATAAACTTGGAGAAAGACATTGATAGCAACATAATACTAGTGGGAGACTTCAACACCACTTTATCACCTCTTGATAGATCAACCAGACTCAAGCTTAGCAAGGGCATACTTCATCTGAGGGAAAAAATGAAAGAAAGGGACTTAGTGAATATATATAGGACACGTTATCCTCAAAATGCTGAATACACATTCTTCTCAAGTGTGCATGGAACTTCTCCAAGACAGACCACATGCTGAGCCACAAAACATGCCTCCAGAAAATTAAGAAGATAGAGGTTGTATCAACAATCTTCTAGAACCACAATGTACTGAAATTAGAAGTAAATCACACACACACACACACACACACACACACACACACACACACACAGAAAACTAAATCAAACACCTGAAATTCAACAGCTCTCTATTGGACAACGAGTGGCTTAGACAGAAAATCAAAAGATTCCTGGAAACGAACGAAAATGAGAACACGAGTTAGCAAAACTTATGGCACACAGCAAAAGCTGTGTTAAGAGGAAAGTTTATAGCTCTACAAGCAATCCTCAGGAAGGAGGACAGAGCCCACACAAATAATCTAACCTCACAGCTTAAGAGCTTGGGGAATGACCAACAAAAGGAGCCCAATATGAACAGGAGGAAGGAAATAATAAAACTCAGCAGATAATAACGAGATGGAAACCCAAAAAACAATTCAAAAGATCAATGAAACCAAGAGCTGTTTCTTCGAGAAAATAAACAAGATCGATAAGCCACTAGCAAGACTCACAAAGAAAGGGGGAGAAAAAAAACCTAATCAACTGAATCAGAAATGAAAAGGGGGTCATTACAACAGAAACTACAGAAATTCAAAGGATCCTCAGGGAGTACTTTGAGAAGCTTTATGCCACGGAACACAAAAACCTCAAGGAAATGGATAACTTCCTAGATTCCTATAGCCTCCCAAGGCTGAACCAAGAACACCTGGAATACCCGAACAGACATATTACCACCAAAAAATTTGAAACAGTAATAAAAAGTCTCCCCAAGCACAAAAGTCCTGACCTAGATGGATTCACTAGTGAATTCTTCCAAGTCTTTAAAGAGGACTTACTTCCAATCCTCTTTAAAGCTTTTCCATGAAACTGAACTATCAAAAACACTTCCTAACAGTTCCTATGAAGCAAATATCACCCTGATACCAAAAGCATACAGGGATACCACAAAGAAAAAGAATTACAGGCTTATATCCCTGATGAACACAGACACAAAGATCCTCAACAAACTATTAGCAAATAGAATCCAATGACTCATCAAAAAGATCATACACCATGACCAAGAAGGATTCATCTCAGGGATGCAAGGATAGTTTACCATTAGGAACTAGATAAACATAATTCATCACATCAACAAAATAAAAGATAAAACCATATGATCCTATCAATAGACACAGGGAAAGCATTTTACAAGATCCAGCACCCGTTTATGATGAAAACTGTCAGCAAAATGGGCATTGAAGGAACTTCCCTCAATGTAGTCAAAGTCATCTACCACAAGCCCACTACAAGTATCATTCTCAGTGGGGAAAGACTAAAAGCCTTCCCTCTAAGATTGAGCACAAGACAAGGTTGCCCACTTTCACCACTCCTATTAAATGTAGTACTGGAAGTCCTGGCCACTGCAGCTAGGCAAGAGAAAGGTGTCAAAGGAATACAGGTAGGAAAGGAAGAGGTCAAACTATCACTATTTACAGACAATATGATACTACACTCAGAAAACCCTAAAGATTCTACAGAAAAGCTCCTAGAAACAATAAGTCGGTTTAGTAAAGTGGTAGGGTAAAAAATTAACACCCAAAAGTCCATGGTTTTCTTGAATACAAATAATAAAAGAGAAAAAGAGACATTTAAAAAATCCCGTTCACAATTCAGAAAATCAAGTACCTCAGAATTAGCTTAACCAAAGAGGTGAAGGATATATACAAGGGAAATTAGAAACACTACTTCAAGAAATAAAAGAGGACACTAAGAAATGGAGACACATCCCTTGCTCATGGATAGGGAGGATTAACAAAGACATCAAAATGGCAAAACTGCCCAAACCACTATACAAATTCAATGCGGTCCCTATCAGGACACTCATGACATTTTTCAAAGAAATAGACAAAACACTCCTGAAATTCATATGGAACAATAAACCCCCACAAATAGCTAAAACAATCCTTGGGAAAAAGCAAATGGGAGACATCACCCTCCCCAATTTCAAACTGTACTACAAAGCAGTAGTAATTAAGACAGCATGGTACTGACCTAGAAACAGACCTGCAGACCAATGGAACAGAGTTGAATATTCTGTCACAGACCCCCAAATATATGACCACCTAATCTTTGACAAAGGAGCAAGAAATGTGAAGTGGAATAAGAAAAGCCCCTTCAACAAGTGGTGCTGGGAAAACTGGATAGCTACCTGCAAAAAAAAATGAACTCTGACCTTTGTCTAATGCCAGGTACAACTGTCAGATCAAAGTGGATTAAAGATGTCAATATCATACATGCATCCATAAGGTACAAAGAGGAAAATGTAGGCAGAACTCTCCACTACATTGAAGACAAAAACATTTTTAAGGATGATACAACACTGACCATGCAAGTGGAAGCCAACATAAACAAATGGGACTACATCCAACTAAGAAACTTTTGCACTTCAAAAGAAACAGTGACCAAAATACAGAAAGAGCCCACAGAATTGGAAAGAATATTTACCCAATACCCATCTGATAAGGGATTAATATCCAGGATATACAAGACACTAGTAGAATTGTACAAGAAAAAAAAACTCCAACCCCATCAAAAAATGGGGAGAAGAAATGAACAGAAGTTTCCTCAAAAAAGAAATACAAATGGCCAAAAGGCACATGAAAAAATGTTCCACATCGCTAGCCGTCAGGGAGATGAAATCAAAATAACAATGAGATATCTCACACCACAGAGACTGGCACACATTCAAAAAAACAAAAGCAACCAGTGCTGGTGTGGATGTGGGGAGAAAGGGATGCTCTTTCGTTGTTGGTGGAAATGCCCACTATTCCAGCCTATCTGGAAAACAATATGGACAGTCCTTCAAAACTAGAAATTGAGCTTCCATAGGACCCCACAGTACCACTTCTGGAAATATATCCCAAGGATGCAAAAAAAAGCACAGTAGAAATGACATCTGTACCTATATGTTCATTGCAGCACTGTTCACAATAGCCAAAATCTGGAAATAACCCAAGTGCCCTAGAATAGATAACTGGTAGAAGAAACTTTGGTCTATCTACACAATGGAATACTATGCAACTCTCAGGAGAGATGAAGTCATGAACTTTGCTTATAAATGGATAGACATGGAGAGGCTCCATAGCTGGAAGCCTGCCTCATGAGCAAAGGGGAGAATAAAGAAGGGATCACTAAGAAAAAGATGGCTGGAGGAATCTGTTGGGTTGGGAGTTGTGTGCAGAAAGGACCAAACATGATAACCTCTCAGGGTCTGTATTGCAAACTATAATGCCCAAAAGTAGAGAGAGATTATGGGGAATCATGTCTGCCATGGAGGCAGGGGGAGGGTGGAATAGGAGGGGCATACCGGGGATATTGCAATGGTGGAGGGATGGGTGCACTGGTGGATGGATGGGTGTTTGATCATTGTGTGATTGTAACCCAAACATGAAAGCTTTTAACTATCTCATGGGGATTCAATAAAATTTTTTAAAAAATCCAAATTAACCACCATGCTACTACAATTATATATTGATTTTCATATGGGAAATAATTTAAGACATTGTTATAATATATTAAGTGGATAGAAGCCAGAGAGATAGGGCAGCAGGCAATGTGCTTGCTTTGCAAGCAGCTGACCCAGAAATCAATCCCATTACTACATATAGCCTCCTGAGTCCCCATAGGACAAGTCCCTGTGTGAAGAGCCAAGAACAAGACCGGAGCACTGCTGGGTCTTCCCCTGCACAAATCAAATCACACACACATTCACACACAGAATAGATTTCTAAAAGAGTAACATACTATTCTAAGCATAGTATAGTAGCAAGCTATGCTAATTCTCCTCTTTTGAAAAGTGATTTGATCATTTAAATAATTTGTGTTCCAGAAATTTCAGTATTTTACAGAAGATTAATGAGAAAAAACCCTAATGAGAACTTGCAAAAGCATTAACCTGTTAACTAAAATTTATAATTTCACTTCCCTATCATATATAAGAATTAGATGCTTGGAAAATTAACCCATACTAATATACTTAAATAGATAAAGATAAAAGTTAAATCATATGCAATTATATGTTCATCGCTTTATATATAAAAATTGCTTTTAGTGCTTTACTATAGTTTAATGTCAAAATCAAAGAAAAATCTAGGTGGATGACATATCTTAGTACTTACCTTATATGGGTAATGATCAATGTTGTTGTGGGGATGAAAAAATCATCCACTCTGTCAAATTGTTTTCCCACAGGTTGTGTGTGGATGGTATGATGAGGCACGTTTCCACTGGCCTGTGTTATTACCTAGAGAGAAAAAATTATTTTTGGATATTTGCAATGCATTCCCTTTGTACACAGGTGGTTTCAAAGCTATATCAACTTTCTTCCTCTTTATAACAGCATTATTCATATGTAATCAATACAAAAATATCCTCTCCTATGGAACCAAACTTGAAACATAGAACAAAAATTTCCAAAACAGATCATTTGAGACACTGAGCTTTAGGAAATTTTAAGATAAAACAATGTTTTAAAACTGTTTTTCCTGCTACAAATTGAAAAAAAAACTGATATCAGCAAGAGCATTATTATTATTATCAAAGAGCATTATTTTTGTTTTTTGTTATTTTTAAAAATCATAGTTATTACAGGAATAGATCACAATATTTGAACTTTTTTAGTCTTAATATCATATTATATTTATTATACTTCAAGTCCTATCTTGTTCCTTCAGATTTCTCAAACTCCCCCCATGCATCGTTTGTCATTTAGTCTTTCAAACTGCTCATCTGCCTTTGTTTCTCCATTTTCCAATCCTTTGTCCATCTGGCAAGCATATTAGACTTCTTCACTACTGACTGACTCTTAAGTAAAATAGATTTTTCTTCTCTCTGAACTGTTTCTTTTGCTTTATCATGACAGCAGTAAATAGCATTATTATTATTATTTTTGAGGCACAGAGTAAATTGCCACATTTATTAATGCAGATAAACAGGCATGGCAGGCTTAGTTATGCTATAATTAAAAAAAAAAAGAAAAGTGAAAAGAAATACTAACAGCTTAGTGTTTAGGAAATAAAGATTCCTTCTATTTATGTAATATTCCCAGAGTGATCTGGCAGAATGTCTATGGTCTGTTTCAGTTAGATTTTTTAGATAGAGCAGCCAAAAATCTTGATTTTTTTCATTCCCAACAGACCTCATTGGCAGAATTTTATGGTCCCACTTATCTGAAAGGACTTCACCTAGTACCCAGGGGAATTAAAAACAAATTATTTGATAGGACTTTAAAAACCATATACCTATTTCATTATAAACATATGCACATAGTCAGTACTAGGTATAAATTAGTCATAATAGTGATTATAAGAATTTAATACAAATCCCCAAAAGATAAGAGGAGTGGAATTTTCATTCTTTTAGATAGTATAGAAGTGTATCCCTCTGAAAATATTACACACTATTACATTTAAATTACTAATAAAACTACTAATAATAGTCAAATGACAGCAAAAATAGCTTTACTGAGAGCTTGCCATATGCCACTATGTATAGTAAATAATTTGTAAGTATCCAATGATTTAATATTCAAACAGAACTGAAATGCAGTGTATTCCAACCTTGCTGATGCAAAACTTTTCACTCCAAATAAACCAAAGATTTATTTACTGAGCATCTTTTTTATGCTGGCCACTGTCAGAAGTTAGAACAAATATGATGCCATTTCTCTAGTGTAATTCAATATAAACTTTGCTCTCTGATGGCTCTAGGTCCTTCTCCCTATGAAAACTGAGCTGGGAGTGGTGGACTGTCAGACTCAAGACAGAGTCCAGGAACAGCAAGCACACACAAATTGATCCATGTTGATGCGGAGCCCTAGGACCAACCTTGCTGCAGCACCTGTTCATTCCTACTGGCACCCTGCCACAGGTTCTATGTAAAGAGCTTCCACAAGTCCATAGTTGCTACCCCCTACTGTCACCCCATCTGGCTGGGGCCCACTTCCTTGCCAAAAGCGAAATGTAAGAACTTTATTCCAAGTTGTTTCCTGGGGATATTTTCTTCTCTAATTATTGTGCATTTGAAAAGACATTACAAACAAATTGTAAAACTATGCAGATGACAGATGCATGATTATTAGGACAGCATTTCCTAAATTTCATTGAGCATAAATGTGTTTTTAAGAGAATAAAATAAGTATGATAATCTTTGAGTAGTCGTCTGAGAATAAAAATAGGAAAATTGCTGCTTTAATACCTAACATCATAAGTTTATGGGTTTTATTAATTGCACATATCAGAGAAAATAATGTATTTTTACTTCATAATAGGCAGAAATATGTACATTAAATTCTAATAAAATTAAAAGAAAAATATAAAATAATATGAATTGCTTTCAGAACCCTAATAAAATGCTTTTGTACCCTCAAGAGTCAGCAGGAACCCATGTATTGTATTTTGTACTAGGGAAAAAGAAGAATCTAGGTAACTTAAATCTTAGCATCGATCTCATTTTTCAGCATAACCCTTTAACATTATAAAACAAGAATGCTACATTCAAAATAAGAGACTATATGACATGATGAATTCAGTTTTATTAGTGGAAAATATTTTCCTTTTTTTCAAACTTTGTTTTTTATCTTAGGGGTGTTTCCTAATAATACTTTTAGGTAATAATTACTCATGAATACACATTTTCATATTTTGCTTTTGGGCAACACCAGGCAGTGTTCAGGGCTTACCCCTAGCTCTCAGCTCAGGGGTTATTGGGACCATACACAATGCTGGGACTTGAACTAAGGTCATCCACATGCAAGGCAAATGCTTTACCTGCTATACTAAGTCTCACACCATTTGTTTTGACATTTCTGAAGTAAGTCTTCTAAGAAAAAGGTACTGGCATACTGGAGTACTTATAATTTGTATGTTATGGTGTGAAATCTACCTTACTTCCAATCCAACAAATACTTTAAACTTTCGTTAAATCTTAGCTTATCGAAAGATATTTAAATCAAAATAATCAACTTCTAAAATACACAACAATGTGTGGGAAGTTACCATCTCTTCAAAACCATTTTCTTCTATTTTTGTATGCTATCTAATGAGTTTGCCTAAACTACATTGTGCACATAATGATACACTGGGGAGATGATTGATCTATGCAACACATGGGAGGAAAAAATAAAAAAAAAATTTACAAACTCAACTTACTTTTATGAAAATGATTCCTAAGAATAAAATATTTTTAAAAATCATACACATTCATTTGATTTCATCCATCTTGTTGTATTATACTTCAATGCAAACTATAAATCATCTAGAATCTATGAATTATTAAGAACTTTTAATTGCCACAATTGACTGTAAATATAAAGACTTACTTAAATAGACATACTGAAAAGTGGTGAAAGGTAAATAACTTAGAACTTTGTTAAAACAGATATATTCTAGTTATGTATTACAATCACAAAGCGGTTTCATAAATAAATAAAATTCATTTCCAAGGGCCAAAATTTTCTCATTTTTCTCATCATCTATATCCTCTTTCTCTCTGTTTTGTTTTAAATGTGTTTTAAAAATCTGAAACTGTGCCAAAAATTCATTGCCAAAATGTTTATGTGTATACATAGAGATTTATGCATATGTTTGCTCCATTAAATTCTCATGTAGATAATTTCAAAACAGAAACAAACTCCACAAAATGGCATCAATGCACATATTCATAATTAGAAATAAATCTGTTAGATAATAAATACCACTTATCTGGAGAAATTGTAGATCCTCTTTGAGCAACTATTGAATACTTTGAGTCTGTTAATCATAGACCCACCCTCCAGGTCCTATTCTGAATAATGAGATATAAACAAGAAAAATATCCTGAACGCTACAAAGGCAGGAATTTGTTGAAAAATAAATTATGACATTTCCCCCTTAAGATATCAGCCTTGTCATTATAGATTATTCTTTTTTTTCTGGTTTGCATAAGAATCTAATATTGGGGGCACATACTAGATTTTTCCAATCCAACTAAATAAAATAAAAAAAAAAATTCCAGTTTCTATTTCTTTAGTGTATAGGAAAAAAATGTGATTAAGGACAGGTCTGTACTGGAAGAATTGTTAAATGACTATGAATATCCAGTTAGCAATGCAAGACTTCAGGTAATTACTTCATCAAATATTCTGAAAGGTACTTACCTGTAATGTTGGAGAAGTCTTTTCCATAGTTCCCCAACTTAGCACCCAGACTTGATCATGTGATTTGTCATAGTGTAATTTAACTGGGACAGGATCAGTGCTTACTGCCTAAAATAAAAGGAGTAGAAAAATATATATATATTTTAGATTTAAACATCCTTTTAAAATCAAGTCGGGGGACCTGGAAAGAAAATGCATAGGGTAAAGCTTTTACTTCACATACAGCCAACCCCATTTCAATCTTTGGCAAGTGCACAGGATCCCTGAGCACCACCAGGAGTGATCCTTAAGAGAGAGAGAGATAGGTGTACTGACCCCTGGCAGGTGTGGCCCCCAAACAACCAAAGAAAAAAATAAAATCATGCATGGTATCATAGAAAAATCTGAAAGTTTAAGTGTCATATACAAAACAAAACCTCTGTTGTAAATCTCCTTGTATCACTTGTATCACTTGTCATTTCGTTGATCATTGATTTGCTTGAGTGGGCACTAGTAATGTCTCCATTCGTCCCAGTCGCATGTTAGTGTAACCCAATGGCATCTGCTCATTCTAGGAGCACGGAGATCTCCTAATTTTTTAAATTCATATTCGAATAACAGATATATACACAGCCATACAACTATTACCAGTAGGGTTGGGGCTTGGTAGTAGATTTTCTTTTCCAATGTGAAAGTGACCACATAAAAGAGTCTATACTTGTTGTTATCAAGTTATGTAATAAATAAGGTATTTCAGGTGTATTTGGTGAATAATGAGCGCCATAAGAAATGTACTGGAATTAATACTAAAATTCAATAATAAAAATTAGCATTTGTCACTGTCACTGTCCTCCCGTTGTTCATCGATTTGCTCGAGCGGGCCCAGTAATGTTTCCATTGGAGACTTTGTTGTTACTGTGTCTGGCATATCGAATACCTCACGGGGAGCTTGCCAGGCTCTGCCGTGGGGGCGAGATACTCTCAGTAGCTTGCCGGGCTACCCGAGAGGGGCAGAGGAATTGAACTCGGGTCGACCATGTTGGCTGCGTGCAAGACAAACACCCTGCCGCTGTGCTATTGCTCCAGCCCTGATACAATGTCCTGCTTAATAAAATTTTGCAAAGACCTGAAAGAGAAATCAATAGTATTTTTTGTCTAAAAAATAGTGGAATAGAGGGTAAAAGAATCTAAACTAACTGGCTTATTGTAACAATATAATGCACACCACAAAATAAAATGCAGAAAAAGAATATGAAATATCATTAGAAATACAATGTATAATAAGGAAAAGTCAAGATAGTGAATGCTTTAATTGAGTTTTCAGGCAGAGATTTGTTTTATTTTTATTTGGGGATGGGAGTGGGCCACACTCAGCCTTCTGCTGACTTTATGTTCAAGGATCATTCCTGGCAATTCTTCAGGGACCATGCAATGAGCTGGGGATAGAATGGGGTTCACTACATGGAAGGCAAGATTCTTAAACCCCGTGCTATCTCTCTGGTCCAGATGCCATCAATATTTTTTTCTATTTCTTGGTAAAACTGTACTTATATTCACTTTACACCCCTTTATAAAGATACTGATAAAATATTTTTTTTAATTTTAGAATTATTTTATTTATTTTATTTTTTAAATTTTTATTAGCGAGACACCATACGGTACAGTTGTATACTTACAAATTTTTGTGCTTGGGTTTCAATTATACAATAATCAAATACCCATCCCTCCACCAGTGCCCATTTCCCACCACCACGGATCCCAGTATCCCTCCTACCCCCTATACCCCCCATCCCACCTTGCCTCTGTGGCAGGGCCTTCCCTTTTGTTCTCTCTCTTCTCTTGAGTGACGTGGTTTGCAAAAGAGGAATTTTTAAAAATGTTTTTAAACACTGTAGGGGCTTTTTAAAAATTTCTAGCACCCCATATGGTCCTCTGAGCCTTCCGGGAGTGATCCTTGAGAAAGGGGCCAGGAGTAAGTCCTAATCAGAGTAAGTCCTAATCATCAGAGGGTATGACCCCAGTACAAAAGAACAAGAACTACACACTCATGCACACACACACACACACACACACACACACACACACACACACATGTATATGCAATTCTAAACTAGTCAGGAACTAGTAAAGTATGGGTAACAGCGACATAGATCTGGGCGTTTAATCTTGACAAGAAGAACAGTGAACACAGCCTGTTTATCCGTCTGACAAGGAAAGGACCAGCTGGCTAATTAAGTGAACCTAATTTAAACTAATGATGTAGATTCTCAGGATAATGTGCTAATGGCTAGAGGAGACTGCTGATGACACTTAAGAATACTCCCGTGGTGTTACAATAAGCCACTTCTGCATCCAAGCAGAACCTGATTTTGCTTCACAGAAGACAAAATGAGGTCAGATGTTTACAAGTTAATCCTTTCTACAGCAAAACATCACCTGTTCACCGTTCTCACACAAATTTTAGTAGTAATAAAAGCAGTCATTGAAACTCTGTGATGTTGAAAGCAGCACTGAGGTCATAGATTCCATTCAAACATTGTGACTTTTGACTTTTGAAACATTCAGAAATTATGCTGATGCATCCGGTGACAGAAAACATATCATTGATCTATTCTGAATAATATTATTTATCATAAATGGTATACAGTTTTATGCTGTCAAGAAGTTAAAATTGGAAAAATTAAAATTGAAAATTAAATGGAATTGAAATGTGGAATACATGTTTCTCTTCATTTATTTCTTTTAAGAGTAAGACAGTTAAATTTTGGAAATAATTTCATTGCAAAATCTACATTAGAAAATTATGTTGCATTTTCTATAATTTTGTAAATTGATTACATTTTCATCATTGTTAATATAATTAGCTCCTTCTTTTATTTATTCATGAGATACATAGAGACACAAAGGTTTTTTTTCATGATATAAGGAAATACGATTGCATTTGGATACAAAATGCATCAAATTCAGTCTCAGGTGAAAGGATGGTCAAGTTGAGAAAAGTGCTGTATTTTTAGAAAATCTGCACCAGGACGCTGAATTTAAAAGTTTAGTATCCTTTTCCACATCCAACAGTGACCATCAATGTAAATCTATTGGCTCAGCTCTGCAGATTAAGGACTGAATTCAGGAAAATATAACAATTCAGGATGCTAAAACTCACAGGTACACTGGGCTACAAGCCAACTCGGGGGCCCCTCTGGGCAGGCCCAATCCCTTCCCTTCCAGGCCAGAGAAGTCCAGGCAGCTGCACACAGACTTTACACTGGTTGCCATGCAATAGACCCAACACAGGTTTTTAAGATTGAACACTCTGGGGTCTTCTTGGAGTCGAAGTGGGAAGACTTTCCCCACTCACATCCCTGTACTTCTGCAAGTCGTAGTAGTCACACGCACATCCCAGAACAGACTGTTAAATCACCAGCCCTGTTTTACAGATCTTGGAGTCACCGGAGCCATGGCCAATGCCTTCAGATTCCAAATACAATCCCCTAGGCACATACCAAATGAGATAGCAAAGCAGCATAGAAACCAACTAAGCTCAATACACGAAAAAAATAGCACAGTAGGTGCAGTTAGAAACAAACAGCTTAGTAACTCTCAGAAAATTACTTTAATGACTCCATGGTGAGATATAACAATTTTCAAAAATTTTCTTTTACTGAAGTACTTTTCTTTTTGATAAATACATAGGCCATTTAGCTACAACAAGCAATATGATTTATTTTGTACTTGGAAAGGGGGCAGGTTTGGAGGGGGAATGGGAAGGTGGGGACAATGGTGGAGGGAAGGTCATACTGTTGGTGGAATTCATGTAAACAAATTTAAAAATACAATAAAAGGATTGTTTTATTCTTGAATATAGTCTCACTTGACTATTTTAAAATTTAAGGGGTTTTTGTTTCTTTTGGCACGGGGTGACACCTGGCAGTACTCATAACTTTGTGCTCAGTGATCACTCCTGGCAGTATTCAGTGCACCATATTTGTTCCCAGCAATCTAAACAGAGTTGATGATATGGAAGGGAAGTGCCTTAACCCCTGTAATATATCTTCAGCACCAATTTATTTGTAAGTACCGAGAAATATCTTTTAATTTTTAAATAGCTTAATTTTTTCAACTTTAAATAGACTGGGTTATTAATCATAAAACAGAGGGTTTAACATGCAAATCTGCAAAAGCTATAATTCACATATTCATTTTTTCATTTGTTTTTTAAAGACATAGCAGTGCTCAGGACTTATTCCTGGCTCTGTACTCTGGGATCACTTCTACCAGGCTTGGTGGATCCTATGGGGTGCGGGGGCTTGAACATGGGTTGGCCACTGCAAGACAAATGCCTACCCACTGTACTAGCACTTTAGCCCCACACATACTGTATTTAAATTAAGAAGAATGTTTTGGAAATTTAAAATTCTAAGTAATGGATATTTTCAAATACAAAAACAGAGTTAGAATATTAATTTTAAGCATTTATTTTTGAGGATTAAAGTTCACGTGCTCTGAAGTTGAAACAAATATAAGAATATGTTATTTCACCGAGAGGGTAGAAAATTTATTGAACTAAACAGGTTAACAGACTGATATAATGCATGTTTCTAAAGAAGAGAGAAAGCATAGATTTGGAAAAAAATGAATTCTAGATGACATATCCCTAAATTTTAGATGTATTCAGTAAAAAATAGATCTTAGGGAGAATCACGCTGAAAGTAGTCTATAGACCAAACATGATTGCCACTCAATGCCTCTCTTGCAAAACACAGTACCCAAAAGAAGAGAGAGAGAACAAGGGGGAATACCCTGCCACAGAGGCAGGACGGGAGGGGGGGGGGGATGAGGGGGAGGGGTGCTGGGACCCGTGGGGATGGATGACGGGCACTGGTGGAGGGATGGGCACTTGATCATTGTATAACTGAAACCCAAGCACAAAATTTGTGGGCCTATAAAAAAAATAAAAAAATAAAATAAAATGAAAAAAATATATATATTTATAAGCAATGTTAGAGTGAATATATCCAATACGAAAACGTTTAGTTCATATTACTAATGTGATCTCTAAATTTCCGCAGAACAATTTACTGAAGAGTGGCTCCAATTAGTACAGCTGCCACTTTACTCTCCTCTCCAGGAAA